TAACTAATTGTTTAATTAATTTTGCACAGCAGTAAATGGTATTATAATTGTCACATTCTGTAGTTCACATTGCTTAAGGCAAAATTAACATGTGAATCGATTGGATAATGTCCACATAACTTATACAACCTGATATTCCTATTTTCACAGGCGGAACCTATTCCAGCGCAGACTAATATGTTCCCTAAACAGTCCAGAGTAAATATATCTCGATTATTACTTTTTTATAAATTTATTAAAGTGTGATATAAATCAGATTATTTTACCATTTTTGGCCAACTCATTTCTTTAATCATATTTGTTACGCCCTTTTAGAGAGTGAGCAAAATCTACTATATACTACTATAGCTCCATTGCTCTATTCTTCCTATAGAGTCGGTCCTATAAAATCGGTCGAAAGGTTAGTTTTTGTTGGATAAACTGTTATATCTTTCAATATATCTTGACAGACTTCAGCAATTGCGAGCTTCGTTATTTTCCCAAGATATCTGGAAATACATATTAAATTATCATATGGCAACTACAGGAAGAATCGGTAGAAATATGGATTTTAGTTTTAATTTTTATAAAAAATTAAATTTAGTTTTGTATCTTCAGTGAAGCAGCAAATAAATAACAGGAAAAACTCTTATGGAATCAAGATAAATTGAAAATTCTTTATATGATCTTGAGAAACTAAAAAGATATATGAAACGCCAGCTCCCATGATTTACTTGATAATGTCTGCATATTCAATCTACAATAACTTTAACCAAACCAAATGATAATTTGTTTATAAACCCAACTCAGCTACGCTCTCCACTTTCATTTATGGACTTCCAAGGGTTTTCACTTATCGCTAATTGATTTCACAGTGTATTTTCGCTTGAAATGCGAAAAGTCCGTTGTTTCAAGGATCTCTTCACGAGCAAGTGCAAGGTATCGAGCATATGGTACCAATAATTCAAGTGCATATATCTTATCGTGCCAAGGATAGGTCCATACTCTGCCGTTTCCTATGTACAACACATGTCACAGTATAAAGTGTGCTTGGAGTACTGTACTCGCGTACCTAATGGATTTCCCAAACACATTGCGGGCCTTGCCCAGCCTGAATAGGTCGGAAAAACAAGATGTCCCATTGCGCCCACTGCTACAGGCGCAGGCCGCTCGAAAAGGACACGTAGCTGCCTGGTCCTGGCGTGCCTTAAGACGAAACGATTTGCCGCACGCATTTGTAATGCTGGCTCAGGATCAGCAACGGGATCAAATCGTACTATTGAAGACCTGCTGAGTCCATGCCGACAAAGTGAATGCCGGCCGGCAGATTTGTTGCCCCAAAAACCATTCTGCACACTCATTTTGGCCAAGTCCTTCGACTCCTGCCTGCAATTTCGTATTATTTGTGGGCGTGTTCGGCCGTACTCCCCCGACCTAAATGCGGCCTAGCAACTACTAAAATGATTAATTTTTAAGGAGCTGCAGGTGCAGGCGTTTAAAAAAAAAAAGAAAACAAATTTCATTGTGTGTTTACCCTGACCCTGACTCTGACCTGCCCTGTCTAGACGTCGTCGTCGTCGTCGTCGTCGTCATATCAGCAAATTGCCCTTCACAAATGTTGTTTACTTAAGTTCCGCTTGCAACGTTTAACATTTTGGCAATTAGCTGAAATGTAAAATGAAATGAAAGGTAAATGTTCTCATTTAAAATACGCTGCCAACTAAAGTTCGCCCTTGCCCCTAGGAGGAACTCAATTATCTGGCTTGTAATAGATATTATAGATAATAAGAATAAAATTTTAAAGAAATATACTATGAACAAAAACGAAGTCGGCGAAAATATCTAAAAACAAGTAAGAGGTTCTAGTCGGGAGCTCCCGACTAGGGGATACCCTTAATCCTCTTCTTCCAACAGGCGATAGGTATAAAATGAAAGATACTTGATATATATATACTATTCTAGAAGCTACATGTCAAGTTTGGTGAATTTAGCTCTTATTATTCACCAAAATTGCTCAGGATTTCGATATCGATTTTTATCGATTACTTGGAAACGGGGCATGTTATCGAATATCGGAAACAAACTCGATCTGCTCGGGGACTAGGAGGACCTACAGCTAAAATTTCAAGTCTCTAGCTCTTATAGGTTCTGAGATCCTTGCGTTCATACATACGGACGGACAAACAGACGGACATGGCTAGATCGACTTCGCTATTGATGCTGATCAAGAATATATATACTTTATGGGGTCGGAGATGCTTCCTTCTGCCTGTTACATACACTTGCACAAATACATTATACCCTGTTAACCCATTTTTAATGGGTTCAGGGTATAAAAAGAAGAGTCGAATTCAATTTGGTTTATCAATCAATAGAATCAGTATCTTCTGAGATCTACCAAACGCAAGACAGCGATATAATGTATAGTAATAATGTTTGTTAGATGTGTGTTTAGATGATCTGCCTCGTAGGTGGGTTTAGCCCTTGTAGGCGCCTCTCTGTAATGGGGTCAGCTAGGACCCCGGATCCATCAGTTAATGCTTTTTCGCAGATAAATCAATTGATGATATCTGAATGCCAAGTTGCATTACTTACGGCTACAATTTAATCGGTGACCCAAATTCGTTTAGTAATTAAAATCCTTTGTCAGCTTTTGAGGCTCTTAACCAGTTAAGTCCCCCTCCGAGGAGAAAAATTAAAAAAAAAAAGCACTCACAGTAGCTTCCTGTGCATTTTGTCATTTTTAATGAACATTTAAGCGATAATGAAAATCAGATATATATGTGTGTATATATATAAATATGTGTATCAAACAGATTACGCGCAAGTTAATGGAAAGTTCGGGGCAATGATGATGAGAACGAAAAAGCAGCTGCCCGTGAGCAGATTAAGCGTAATGAAAACCTTTTGGGGTTGGTTAACGAAGAAGATAAGCGCAAACGGGTTTCCAGAGCTAATCATTTAAAAACGTTGCCAAAAATACAATTCACAAAGCTTTCCCACCTTGCAGGCTGGCAACCTGTTGTGCCGAAAAAAATAAATATATAAAAACCAAAAATTAATTTGTTGCTGTTGTCCTGGCAAACGTGGACAGCAGCAGGCAAGCTGCATCCGGTGTTTGTGCTGATGCCAACAAACTTCCGTTTTTCTGGCTGCCGCTGCCGCAGCCGCAGCAACTTTTGCGCATGCGCAGCCACAAGTCAGTCACATCCACAGACAGAGCCTCAGCCAGAGCCACAGCCAGAGCCAGAAGAGCAGCAACGTGCACGTCAACTGCTGCCAACAGGTGTATTTACTGTTTTTTCTTTTATTATTTATCAGGGACAACAACAAAACCAACAACAACGACAACAACACGAAAAAAAGTGCTCCCCAGTTGGGTTTTCATTTCTGTTTATACCCTGTGCACAACATAACTATGTAAAGCAGAGTATATGAGACTTGATTAAAACTGAAAGTTGAACCAGCACGCCTGTTCGACTGTATCGAAACGGCTTACCCAAAGATAACATTTCTATGTATGTTGATTCACATAATTCCACATTAATTTGTTTTATAGCTAATTTGAATTTCATATGAATTAATTAAATTTATTGTTTGCGTATATTTGAGTACTTGGCGGGTTAGTTGAATTAATTGTTGGAGTACTTTTGAGTACTTGGCGTGGGGTGAACAGAATCAAGAGGGTTTATAGCCCCCTTGCTACAGGGTACCCACTCGTCTAACTCTCTGGTTGTTTTGTTCCATTTTGTGGATCTTCTTCTACTGGCGGTTGGCTGCCTGGGCAACTTTTTCATTGCCATAATTACCATGATTAGCAATGAATGCTGGGCCCGACTCCAGGTCTCCGGCAGAGGCATTACCTTAGCTTGGCTTTAACTTGGCTTGCGATCTTTCTGGTTTTGGGCCTGCTTCAGCTTCAGCTTCAGATCCAACTCCAGCTCCGGCTGGAACTCCATCAGTTGCTTGTTTTCGGTTACTTCGTCAGCAGCAGGCGGCAAACACGCGACAAATTTAATTTTTATACTATTTTCTTTCTCTTTTATTTCATTTATCATGGTTGTGGTAGCTGTTGCTCTTGTTGTTGCTCTTGTTGTTGTTGTTGTGGTTGCATATATTAACCGTAAGTCGCCTGCACTTTAATTTGTATTTATGCGGGCTGATTACCTGCCCCTGCCCCTGCCCCTCTGCTCACCAGCCAGCTCCCCACCGATGATGTTGTTGACTTCTTTATTTAAAAAAATTGTATTTTATTGGTTTTGACTCTTCTTGTTATTGTTGTTGTTGTTCTGCTCATGAGTAATCAATGTTCCCGACTGTATTCGCGTAACGGAACTGTACTTATGTAATGCTACCTGTACTTGTGCCTCTGCCTCTACCTGTGCCTGCGCCAGTGCGTGCTCTAAAGAGTGTCATATTATATTCGGTTCAGTGATGAGGGCCAAATGCAGCTGTTCTTGTTGTCGACTTCTAACATAAATCAAGGAATTCTCCAAAAAACAACTCTTTAAAACTGATATTAGCTATAAATAAATGCAAGTCGAAAACTTAAAAAGCTGCCTCGCTTTCAATCAACAGCAAGAATGTGCAAGCCAGCTGGGATAAGTTTGGTATCTATGTATATCTTTTACAGATATACCCATATCCTTGACGATCACCAGTAAAAAGTACCAAAAGCATATTAAGTTTAGTTTAGTTTCCCTGTTATTTAATTACTATTTTTTGTGTGTTGTTATTTCCCTTGGCAAAGGGATTTTAAATCGAAGTCTCTCACAAAAATGTCGTTACATAAATTATCGCCCCAGTGGTAGGTCTCCAAATATAATATTGACACTGCTTAAACAAAGAGAAGAATTCCATTTTGGCGCGTGCTAAGCTTGCGGCAAATGCCCAGACAAATAATATTTCCAAGAAATAATGGGGTTAAGTTCAGTTTTGGAGCCAGTCAGGTACCAAGAAGTGCACATCGAATGCCTGAAACCCCGAAACCGCAGACAAACCCAACGCGGATCGAACGCATTGTACGGGGACAACTGATAAGTTGTGAAACGGGGCAGATAAGATAGTGGCTGAGACGAAATCTAAGCAAATAAGTGCAAAGCCAAAGATATCGAAAATGTCGAAAGGTAACTAACTGGACAGAAGGTTCTTATCGAGCCGGCAATTCGTTGTGGCAGCTGTTCCACAGATAAAACGCGGCACGGCACGCGCGATTATCCAGCGCGGCAAGAACTCCCATACCGCCTTATATATATTTATATATATATATGATCATTCCATATGTAGCACCAGGCCATGCTTATCGAGGCATTCCGAAAATCGAAAACTGTTTGCTCGAAAGTGCAATAAAAGTGTTGCGTATCCTTCCGCTGTTGCATCTGTCCGGGTCCAGGCGGAAAGGAGCGTTGAGCATTGCGTTTTATGACTTGGTTTTATGGCTCCGATTATTCCTTTCAATACTTTGTTGTGGCTCATTAAGTGGGCTGTGCAGTTGCTTGATATGGTAATTGAATTTAAATATACTTATGACTTATATTGCATAATGAAAACGGCTTTTATGCGCCTTTAATAGGCCTGCTGTCGGCAATTAAAAGTCAAGACTGTATCTGGCTGCACATCTTGCTTTAATAGACCACAAAGATAGCCGTGGATCGGCGACAAGCTGTACCCGGAGTCGAATGTTAGATATACGAAAGTATCGCCTAGCCGAGTCAGCAGCTCAACAATGGGTCAAAGTCAGACAAAAGACGATCATATAGCATTTCCTCCATTGTGCAGGCATGATCCACCCTTAAGTGTAGCGAATCCAGCAGATGAGTTCCATGTGCCACGTCGTCTTTTGCCCGAATGCGTCAATAATGCTGTCGTCAATGTGAAAAGAATGGCCATGGCCGAGCTCCTGCTCCCGCTCCTGCTTCTGGCTCTGTTCCCGCTCTATAGAGAATGTTATACATTTCACATTTGGCCCTTTGTGAGCCCGAATGAAGCTGTAACTGTCTGTCAAAAATACACGACTGCGTGTTGCCCTCTGTTTATTGCATTTTGTGGTCGATCAGCGATCAGCGATAAGGTCTTAAGTGGAGCACACAGTACATAGCGAGAGCGAGTCGCGGTAGCTGGCAGTAGTCCATCATAATTATAAGGATAATCGCTTGATTGGTTATCCATCATGTAATATTTCAATTCAGTTCCTCAGCTCGCAGCTCAAGCTGCTTCTGCCTACTGCTTGAGTGCTTCGTTGAGTGTTTTCATTTGTATTTAGTTTGCATCTTGCGGGAAATAGATATGGATAGACAATTGCGTTGGCTAAGATACTCACAATAGTTCCCCTGGGCCTAATGTGCGATCAGCTGCATGGCTAAAGGTACGCTCTTTTATATTTGATATGCATTTGGGTCAAGTAAATTACAGTTTGCCCAATAGACAGTTTACAATTCAATGCCTATAGAGGGCATTGATGGCCAACATATTGCCAAGAAAGTGTTCATAGTTCTAATACTAATATTGAGAGCTGCCCGCCTCGAAGATAATATTGTTTACTTGGGCAGGAAATTTCGAGAAACACTCGGTTCTATCATGAACAGTAAAAGACTCTTGCAATCCAAACAGCTTAAGTCTCTTTTGAAGCTTTAACTTGTTGAGAATTGCAAGCATCAAGCTTCGATAAAAGAGCAAAGCAAGCCAAACAAAAGTCCATTTTTGGGCCTGGAGAGAACAAGTTTTATTAGTGAAATAGCTTTGTGTACATTATTTAAAAAGTGAAAAAACTTTATTATAATTCTTTTTACAATTTACCCCTCGGCTTGCTTTTAAAAGGAATTTAAATTACAATTAAATATTCTATATTTAGTTCGAGTTTTGTTTACACAATTTATTTAAGTGAACTAAACTTGATTTAATTTTAAATATTTTTTTTAATTAATGCCATTTTTTAAGCCATGTTAGCTGCAGTCTGGAAGATGTCTATAAAAATAATGGAACACTCCATTCCATATTATAGTTTTGTAAATAGCTCTACCTCAAAAATTACTTATGCAATTTTTAAGGTTCTTTTGTCTTCCATAAAGTCAAATGGCATTAAATGCGCCCACTTAAATATTTAAACACATCTATTATCATGCATTTACTATAAGTATGTGTGGTCTCCGAGTGCAATTTATAGACTATGTTCATTGTCAGCTTGTCGAGAGTTTGAAGTGGGCTGCTTGGAAGCAGAAATGATTTAAGTTCAATTGTGTGTGGTCAGTCAGACAGCAGCTCATCATTGGAGCTAAGCCCCGTCCGGATGATGAGCCAACTCGTTAAACTGGGCGTTCGTTCATTAATAGCTCGACTCGAGCGGCGACTTCAAAGTTCGGGTGACAAATAAAAATGAAGCAAGGTCCAGGCCAAAAGTAACCAAGCCCAAAATCGTAAAAGCAGTAAGTAGCCATAAAGTGGCTCAAAGACAATACGGAATTCCTTGGCCAAACAAAATGTTTAACATTTATGTACGTGACAAAAATGCCTGAGCTGCTCATTATGATTAAAGGTAATGGATGAATGGCTAAGGGATATATTGCCGCCCAGTAAGTATTTTTATTTGATATTGCAGCTAACCGCATTTCAATCACATAGCCATATGGAACTCAATTTCGGTCAAATTAGTTGGCCAACTTTACTTTGGCCAAGTCGAGTAATTTCGCCCTGGCTCAGCCAATCTCGCCAGCGGCAGCTAAGCAACAACAGCTGGCGGCACTTAAGTCGCTGGAGGAAATAGTTGAGAGCTGATCTCTCTCCCCCCCTCTCTCTCTCTCTCTCTCTCTCTCGCCCTCGCCTTTTGTCTCTTTCGTTCGTTCATCGCGCTCCCTCGCAGTGTAGAAACCCTTTTGTGTTGGCTTGTCGTTTTTTGTTATAATTCGTGTTTAACTAATTTTAGCCTATTATCGCCATCATTATTATCATTAAATGTGAAATTGTTGCCCCGGTGCGCATGCGCATTGGCAATTTCAAAACAACACACACACACACACACACACACACACCTCTGGCAGGTTGCTCCAACAAAACAAAAACAATTTCAACTCCAACTCCAACTCATCGTCATCGTCATCGTCAAGTTGCTGTCAGACACCAACTGTTGTCTCTGTGCCCAGTTCCAGTGCCTGTCCCAGTCTTCTGACCGCTGGGGTTGTCGGCGGGGTCAGGCCAGCAACATTATGCGCCTGCTATGAGCTTTTCAGCAATATGTTCTATTTTTCGCTTGCTCTCGGCAATTACCAAAAGTAATTTGAAAGGTATGCCTGAGCTGGAGCATGGAGTGTAAAACAGCCTAAAAGGGTCGACTGTTAAATGGACCTGTTCGCCAAATTGCGAATTGTATTTGGACTTGTAGATTCCTTCAGTGCTTAACGATGTTATTCAAATTCACACCAAAAACGTTAATTTGCTCCTCAACTTAATTGGCATTTTTTATTAAGAATATCATGCTTGATAGTTGTTTTCTATGTATATCTATATAAAACGCTAATCTTGAGAAATTCCAGCCGTGCTTGTGGGGAACTCTTGTTTTACAACCGATCGATCCTAAACTCATTTTCAAAGTTCTTTGCTCGAATTCATTTGAGACGTGTTGCACCCTTTTTAGAAAATCCACCCATTCCTTAGTGGAATGGGGTCAAGAATTTGGTAGATGAAATCAAAGGTGAAAAGCTGTGTGGGCGAAGTTGTAGAAGGTTTCGTTCGATAGGCTTAAACTATCTACTAACTATCAATATTTATTATATTAATTTTATGAATACGTTTTTCAGCGATTTCGAAAAATCCACTAGAAACTGTGAAAAGTTTAGTGAAAATGGTTGTCTGCTAAATTCTTTGGGAAGTGTTTCACAATTTTTACAAAATCCAACCCTTTTGAATAAAGAATGTATAAACGGTTTTACTTTTCGACATTAAGCAAAGACAATATAAACACTTTTTATATTGTCTTTGGTATGGGTATATTTTAATCAAAAAGAAACTTGGATGAGGCAAGTCCTGGATATACCAGTTGATTAATATATGAATATCTTACAGATACCAATCTATTTAAGCGATACGATTATTGATATGATTATCATAGTTCATTTTCATTGCGGTAATTGAGAAGCTTCTGCAATTTATGCCACCTTTATCCGCAAATGAGCAGCTTCTGTAACATTCGATACTCTTTCAGGGGAAAGAACTCAATTACAATTAGAGGGAGACAAAAAAGAATCTTGACGAACAATTGCAAGAAATTATTGAAAGTAATACGAACACAATTTATGCGGCTGCCGTAGCGAAAGATGGCAAAAGATGTATTGGGCCGAACAAAAGGCAGCCGAGCAAAAACCACAAGAATGACAAATGTAAACGGCACCGCAGGATCGTTATGCAGACACCGGGACTGGGACCGGGAATGGGACCTTCGCGCAACGCACCAGACCCGACGCTTGGGTGGGTTGTGCCGAGCAACACCTACAACACGGATACAGTGATTCGTTTGCTCAGTGGCTCAGTTTGTCTGCCTGTTCGTCCCTTTTCTCGGGATAAGGATAACCAATACGGCAATGGCAACGGCAATGGCGACCCATGCGGCGTTGCAGACGGCGCTGTCCGAGCGGGCCCTGGAAGGAGACCTGGCCACTTAAAGGGCATAACGACAACGGATCGGCGTCTGATGCCACTGATGCTTGACCAGCGACTGCCTTGGCCTTGGCAGGGATTGAGTTCCTTATAGTTCTATTGAAAATCGTCAACGGCAGCGGCCATATGCCAGTGGACAGTTGTTTGATTTGTCCGTCTGCTGCTAACAGATATCCTGGCTACCGTCTGTGACTTACCTTACGCTCGCCTAATCATTGTTAGTTTTTCCCTGCAAATTGTCTCTTATTGTTTTTCCTTTGCTTTGTCGCCTGCTGACAGCTTCTTGCAAATTGTCCTCGTTTTACGTAAATGATTTATATGCTCCTTGTTTATACAAAGGATTTGTGCGTAATTTTACTATTTGCACAGTTGTCTGTGATTTGCAATTTTTAGCTAAGGCACAAATATTATTATCACAATAGGGAGAGTAGCAAAAATGATCTATTAGTAAAGCATAGATTGAAATCTTAAAATAATAGAAAAACGTTAAAGAACTCTTTGTTTCCCTTTTAGCTGATCTAATCTTAATACAAGCTAGTTGGTAGTTCCTGACTAGGAAATATTCAGAACCCAGCGTCGACTGTGCTTCTTCTTCCCTTAGCCCCACATTTTGGAAAATGCTTTCGGAAATAACTTCGGTAATTATTGCTCGATCTTTATTAAATTTACAGGTCATAAATAGGACAAGCCAATGTGTGTAAATATTAAAGCTCAAGACTATGCCCCTAATCTTCAACTTTGAGGGAAATAGCAAACAAAAAAATCCCAAAAGTCACCATACGAGAGTCTAAATATCAAATTTGCGGTTTCTAGGTCTTCTATGTTCGAGATATGCTCAAAAAACAGGAACAGGAACACTTGAAAAACTTATGTTCTAGCAAAGAGAATATCAATACTAATACTT